GAAGGATCCCAGGCGGCGCGCGGCGCGCCCCTCGCCGGTCTCCCGCACGCTCCTGAGGGCCGAGAGGGCCGAGAGGCGGGGTCGGTGACCCGGGGGCATGGGCGGTGCGGCCCGCGCCGCGCGCGGGCGCGTGGCAGCCCGTGAGGGCCGAGATCGGGTCCGTACTTCGACGTAGTATGGGCCCCCGGGGGCCCTCTACAGCAGCGGCGAAGTGAGCGTGTTTGTGGTGTTGGTGTGGCGTCTGAGCTTGGATCTGTGACTAAAGCCGGTTACCACTGATGGATCCCCACCCGAATAACACACAGTGAGCGCCCCAGCGCTTCACTACGCCCTCCGCGCGAAATCGCTAGTGGTGCTTTGTGGTAGTATATTGTACTTTTGAGTAGTATGGGTACGGTTCCCGAGACCGTTTGGGGTCCGTGCCTGTCCGCAGCTGACACGTCGTGGTGACGATGATGGCGAGGAGCATCAGTGCATCACGGTGGGAGTGGCACGGCCCCTCTGAGGAAAAACGTCGCCATGGGCATGGGCACCGTATAAATCCTGTCCCAGGGCTTGGGAGGTGACCCGCCAGCCAAGATTTCTTGCACCTCCCGCCCCAAACCGCCGGGGTTCCTTGCTCTCGCCTTCGCCCTCTGCTCACCTGTAGACTGCCACCGCCGCGACGGCCTCCGATGCCGCTGACGCCGCGAAAGCTCTTCGCCAGATCAAAGGCCTCGTCGCGCCGAAACCCGCGTGAGCGCGGCCGAGCGGAGACGGACGAGCAGGAGCTCGCTGTCGTTCAGCTGCAGGCATGCGTGCGCGGGCGAAGCACGAGGCGGAAAATGGGCGGCTTTTTCCTCGGTGGCTTCCTTGCCGTGCCGACGAGACTCTTTAGCTCGGGCGCGCCGTCAGTCGAGGCGTTGCGCGCTAAGAATGCGGCGCACCTGTTTCCCAAGAGGGAGAGGCGGGAGGCGATGGAGCTGCTCGACCAGCTAACGTCGGTGCTGGACGCCAAAGCCGAGTCGGCGTGGGCGCGGTGCCGCGACATGGCGCCTGGGCAGGGGCAGCAGCAGCCGCAGCAGCCGCAGCAGCCGCAGCAGCCGCAGCAGCCGCAGCAGCCGGCGGCGGCGGTGGCCCTCGACATCCTGCCTGGGCTGCACGCCGTCGAGAAGATCGCGCCGCCGGCAAAGCAGAGC